AGGAGCCTAACTGAAGTTTGGTCAGGGAGAGGCCTTCGTCAGCCTCACTTTCCTCATCTGATAAATGGGGACAGTAATGCCAGTGCAACCCACCCACAGGGCTATTGTGAAATAAAGTCAGTGGAACACACCACATAAACCCTACGTTGCTGAACAAATGTGAGGGAGGGTGTTGTTATAATGCCGTGCCCTCCCACGTTAGGTAGAACCTACAGCTCGGAAAGACCTCAGCGCACTTCTGTTCAATTAGCCCTCCCTTCCTCCTCGCTATCTACACCCCATTTTATTCTAGCTGCATCCTTGGCAGTGATTTAACTTGGCAGCAGTCAGCTGATGTGAGGAGGAAGAGGAAGCTGATGGTGAGGGGAGCGTAGATTTAGGAATTGGCTCTGGAAAGAGTCTGCAGATAGACGGTGGTATATAATGGGGCACAGAGGCAGTGCCCAGGCCATTTAAGCTGGTCCTTGAGCTGAAGGGTTTTTCCCGTGATTATGACACAGTATTTCAAATGAGACATTTGTCTCAATGAGAGCTAGTTTTGAGGTAGTGGGGAAAAGAGGATTTATTGGAACGACAGCCTAATCTTTTGGGGGAAACCACAATATATTCCCATTTTACCTCATACTTCAAAACAAACATGAGATAAATAGAAATATTAAGTGTAAGAACAAAACCATAAGGAAAATAAAGGGGGTGAATATTTATATAATCTTGAGGTAGAGTTTGTAAGTGTGACATCAAAGGAACAAAACAGGCTTAATAAGTTTGATTAGTGACAGAGCTGCAACTTTAAAAAGAGGGATAGAAATGCCAACTGGTAAAAAAAAAAATGTTTGTAGCATCTATTCCAAGGAATATGTTCTTAAGGCATAAATAGCACTTACAAAACTAGAAAAAAGATGAACACCGTAAAAGAAAAATGGTAACAAAAGAAGACATTTCTAATGGCCAAATAGATGAAACAACTCACCACCGCTAATCAAAGAAATGTAGATAAAACCAAAAATTGAGAACACGTATTCAAAAGATGTTTATCAAGGATTTGGGACTGTTACAATACAATTACAATAACAGCATTATTTAACCTTGTATCTAAATTCTAAAGTATTTTTAAAGTAATGCCATCCCATTTAATGTATGTAAATTAGAATAAATTCTTTAGAGATATTAAGCTTTGATGCAAAGATAAAAATGATTCGTAATTAGTGCTTTCACGCCAATAAGCGTGTCTTCCGTTCTTATTTGTTCTGGAACTTAAGAGGCTGTTGACACAAACAATCCATAATCAATCTATAAGTCAGAATTGGTGTGAGTTTATTATATGAGCCAGGTCTGAGGACGATAGCCCGGGGGCTCCCTTCCCAAGGAAGGAAGCTCTCCAAAGACACGGGGTGTACAGAGTGGTTCTATACCATCTTGGAACAAAGAACATAGATCACACATGACAGGAATATCTGTTTTGCTGCTGTCACAAGATGCCTTGCTAGCACAGCAGGTCGGTGGTCACAAGGTGAACACAGCAGGTCCGTGGTCAGCAGGTCAGAGGTCGCGAGATGAGTTAAAGCAGGTCAGAAACTAATCCTGAGTTTCTGGGAAGAAATGCTTATCCTTAAAGAAATGCTGATATGGGGAAGGCAACACCCCTATCTTTAAGGGCATCATTCTCGGCTTTGGGACCTTGTGAATGTTTAAGGCAGATTTACAATACACGCTCAACAGGCCACGTCAGGCCCTTCTGGAAAAAGAGTCAGGCCGAATTAGTTTTAAACCAGATATCTTCCTCGTATACTCCAATACATCCTATTCTTTCTCATGTATTCATCAGGCCTTAAGGTAAAATGCTTTGTCACATCACCTTCTCATAGGTAGTATAAACTTTGGCCTAGCTTTTTTAAGAAAAACACACAAACAAAAAAATTCCAAAGTAAAATGATGGGTTGCTGCCGTATTTGGAAACTTCCATTGGTTCTGACCCACCGCTGGGTGAGGCTGGGTGTGTCAGGAAAAGGTGTTCATGTGAGCGTGAGGGGACACTGCCTCAGTACTGACACTGTTATTGTAGGTTCGTCACCGGGCTTGTATAAACAGTTGTGTGTGTTGCCTGCGCACGCACGTGTCTTAGGAGGAAAAAACCATTGCAGAGCAAAGGTCTCAGTATTTGATGTGAATTTCACCATTCAAAGGAAAAGGACTTCAGCCGCTGGCTGGAAACCCGGCAGCTGGGCGCGGAGGAACTCTTCACCCAGGAAAGCCTTCAGCCAAAATAATAAGAGGGACAATTGAGGATCTCTTGTTCAAGATCTGCTTTCCCAGGGAGCAAAAAGAATGCCGGGGCAGTGAGACAAAGACACGCATCTTAATCATGAGTGTCATTCATAAAACCCCCTTTGTCTATTCAGAGCGATTTTACTACTTGGCTCTGTGAGCCCAGCATAGAAAAGAACAAGAAGGAATTTTTATCAAGTTACGCTTTCAATGAACTGAACCTTCTATGAAAGAATTCAAACCAACTTCATTCAGTACTTGATTTGTTTTTAAGCAATGGTGGGTTTTGTTTTTTAAAGTTAGAGGATGCCATGTAGTAAGTAATTTTGCTGAACAGCTCCAGAAAATATTTCTAAAACTGATGGTTTGTTAACTGTGCTCAGTCCAGGAGAAGAAGAAAAGAAAATGGGATACTTAGTGTTTTTAATAAGGATAACTTGCCTGGCAAAGCGATATTTCCCCTTGCGCTCGATGAATACATTCAACATTTGCCTGCACCGCAGAGTCATAAATTCTTGTGGGAGCTAATCGAGACCTCCACCCCCACCCCAGCAAATGGCCAGGAGGGGAGGCAAACCATTTGCATGCACTGAGGCATTCAGTTATTGCTAACTGGTGAAAGCTTTTTCTCCTGAGATGAAAAATAAATGCATATTCTTAAGAGGCTCATCCAAAGCCATTGATTGGCAGCCTTGGATTAGGACTCTAGATGCAAAGAGAGGGCTCAAGCGAATTTACTTTAGAGGTTTTCTCCCTCTATGCATCAGCAAAGAAGTTGTGATCATATATTTATTAGCTGTGTCTTCGGCTGAGCTGTCGAAGCATAGAGAGAAATAATGTATCTTAAGGCAGGAACGGGCTGCTGACTTGAGCTCTGCCTCCATACAAACATCTGCTCTTTAATTACACAAAGAAGTCTCCAGGCACCCCCTCCCTCTTGCTCCTGGGATGTGTATGCTTGCTTATTTTGCAACTGTATTTAGTCATGGAATTTCCAGAGCCACTCAGCCTGGGGAGGGAGCCCGTGGCCAATGAGTCAGGTTTTTAACTTGTGAAAAGGATTATTTGATGAGTTGAGATGATGCTCCAGCTTGGTGATTAGTTCAGATCATTGCAACAGAGGTTGGAGAAGAGGCCACTGTTGTTATCTGCTTTCTCCCCTGGTGGTGGAATTCAACCTGCTAATCCACCCAACCCATCCCCTGCTCCTCCCGAAAACTTTCTCATGGGCACCACAGGGTCATTCGTCCAGTGTTAATGCAGAAGAGCCAGGGCCGAGGCTGTGAGGTCTCTTGTTAGCATGGCTCTGGGGGCACTAAGAGTTCTATTGGTTATCTAGGCAGCCTTAAGTATACTACTGACCTTCACCTGTAGACATTACCCCCGACTGCAACAACAGAGGTTGAGCTCTGTGTTATCTCTGAGGTCTGTGGTCAGAGCCAATGGTTCTAATCATTCAGGTAGACAGCAGTCTCAAAATTAAATGGGGAGCGAGCTTGATTTTAAAAAGATGGAGGGCCGGCTCCGTGGCTTAGCGGTTAAGTGCGCGCGCTCTGATGCTGGCGGCCCGGGTTCGGATCCCGGGCAAGCCCCAAGGCGCCACTTCTCCGTCCAACGCGAGGCCGAGTCCCACGTGCAGCAACTAGAAGGATGTGAACCTATGACATACAGCTATCTACTGGGGCTTTGGGGGGAAAAAATGAATAAATAAAATCTTTAAAAAAATAAAAAATAAAAAAAATAAAAAGATGGAGACCCCACTTTTGGACATTCTGATTCAGTGGCTTTGAGATAGAGTCTGCAAATTGGTATTTTTAGGAATCTTTCCAGTTGACGTTAATTAAGAATTTTTCCAGGTCTAAATGATGTTCTGTTAACCTTTTTTTTTTTTTTAGGTGAGGAAGATTAGCTCTGAGGTAACATCCATGCCAGTCCTCCTCTTGTTGCTGAGGAAGACTGGCCCTGGGCTAACATCCGTGCCCGTCTTCCTCTTTATATGGGAGGCCGCCACAGCATGGCCTGACAAGCGGTGCGTCGGTGTGCGCCCAGGATCTGAACCCGGGCCACCAGCAGCAGAGTGTGCGCACTTAACTGCTACACCACGGGGCCAGCCCCAATGTTCTGTTAACCTGAATATATTATATATATATATTTTTTTTTATAATTTTATTTATTTATTTATTTATTTTCCCCCAAAGCCCCAGTAGATAGTTGTATGCCATAGTTGCACATCCTTCTAGTTGCTGTATGCGGGACGCGGCTTCAGCACGGCCGGAGAAGCGGTGCGTCGGTGCGCGCCTGGGATCCGAACCCTGGCCGCCAGCAGCAGAGTGTGCGCACTTAACTGCTACACCACGGGGCCAGCCCCAATGTTCTGTTAACCTGAATATACTAATTCATCGTATGACACGGCACCAGGAAGAATCTGGGTCTTTACTGAAAAGAAAAGGCGTGCATCCCCCTGTTCAGCCTGCCTCGGGGATAGCAGGGAGGGGCTAGCTGCCTTACCTCTTTGTATTTCCACCTTCCTTTGTTTTGCAACAGAGATAAGCAGGCCATTGTATGTGCCAGAGGTGCAGCAAGGAGAATGGTTTGTGGTAAGCAGGAAAGATGAACCCCACCCCCTAGAAAAATCCTCAAAAGAAATGAGAAAGAAGATAATGTGATTGTAGCTGCCCATTAGGTCTGCCCACACTATTTCCACCTTCAGTCCTGACTCAGTCTTTCTTTTTCAGCTAGCACAGTCGGGCCAGAAGATGCCATTGTGACTACAGGTGTGGAAGATGGCGTGGTGACCCACAGTGTGAAAGATACAACAGTGACCCCAGGTGCCAATGAAGACCATGTGTCTACTGGCTTGCCACCTCTGGTGAGTGTCACTAGGAAGAGAGGAATTTGCTCCATAGGCGTGCAATTACATGCAAGGGTATAATAAATATATATATATATATATATATATCGATAGAATCCTCAGTAGCCACCATACAAAGGAATTGTTATGTGGCATGCAAGAAAAGCTGCTTCCCAGTTTCATCCAGCTAGCCACTGGCTGGTGTGCTGATCTCAGGGGATTTGAGAGTATACACCAGGTTTCTCAGACTGATGAGGAAGTAGGTTGATAGATCTGTTAGAGCCCAATTTTCAATACAATAAAAATCTTGGATGTTGCGGCACTGTCTTTGCTATAAAAGTTTCTGAATACGTTATTTGCAGTTTCTTGTCTTATTGTAGACTGGTAATAAACACAGACTAGAACCCATCCACAGACCACACTGGAATAGACTATGTGGAATCTCAATCAACAAATTCCTAACCTAATGAATTGTCATCAATTCATATGTGTCTTAAGCACCTGCCATGGGCAAGACAGGATACCAGGCTCTCGGAGGCACTGAGGAGGCATAGAAGCCACACCTTTGACCCTTGAGGTGCTTATAATTCAGTTAATAACATTAATAATAATTTAGCCTAATAACCGAGGCTCCTGCCCACCCATCTGGCCTTGTTGCACTGGGTTCTCACTTTCTCTCTTTCAGCCATGTTGGCCCTTCTGACCTTTGAACTTATTCCACCCTAGACTTCTGTTTTCTCTGCTTAGAACGCTCCCCAGATCTTTCCATGGCTGACTTTTTCTCATGATTCTCAAGTTCAAATGTTATCTCAAAGAGGCCTAAAGTAATCCTGCCCCCTCCACCCTCTGTTCCCCCTGGGAGGTACCCTCTAGCCCTGACGTCAGCAAACTACCCACCAGATTTGGCCCACTGCCTGTTTTTGTAAATAAAGTTTTATTGGAACACAGCAATGCCTGTTCGGTTGAGAATTACCTGAGGCTGCTTTCCTACTGTAAGAGCAGAGTGGAGTAGCTGGTTGCAACAGAGGCTGAATGGCCTGCAAGGCTGAAAACATTTCCCATGTGGCCCTCTACAGAAAAAGTTTGCCAATCCCTGTCCTAGTCTGTTACCTAGCTTACGTTTTCTTCAAAGCACTTAAAATCATGTGAAATTACCTTTTGTATTTGTTTCTTGTTATATGTTCATACCTTGCCACCCCATCTCAGAATGTAAGTTTCAAGAGGGCAGGGAATTTATATTACTTGTGTTATATCTTCAGGGCTTAGAACCATGCTGAGCACGTAGCAGGTACTCCTTAGCATATTTTTTATTGTGTTAAAAAAACACGTAACAAAATTTTACCATCTTAACCATTTTTAAGTTCAGTAATGTTAAGTAGATTTACCTTGTTGTGAAACAGATCTCCAGAATGTCTTCATCTTGCAAATCTGAAATTCTATACCCATTAAACAACTCCCCTTTTCCTCGTCCCTCCAGCCCCTGGTATCCACCATTCTACTTTTTATCTCTATGATTTTGACTACTCTAAGTACCTCATATAAATGGAATCATACAGTATTTGTCTTTTGGTGACTGGCTTATTTCACTTAGCATCATGTCCTCAAGGTTCATCCGTGTTATAGCATGTGACAGGATTTCCTTCCTTTTTAAGGCTAAATAATATTGTGTTGTATGTATATACCACATTTTGTTTATCTGTCAATAGACATTTGGGTTGCTTCCGACTCTTGGTTATTGTGACTAGTGCTGCCGTGAACATGGGTATGGAAATATCTCAAGACCTTGCTTTCAATTCTTTTGGGTATATACCCAGAAGTGGGATTTTTGGATCATGTGGTAGTTCTATTTTTAATTTTTTTGAGGAATGTTCATCCTGTTTTCCATAACAATTGCACCATTTTACATTCTAACCAACAGTCACAATGGCTCCAGTTTCTCCACATCCTCACCAACACATGATTTTCTGCTCTTGTGATAGTAGCCATTCTAATGGGTGTGATGTGATAATCTCATTGTGATATTTATTTGCATTTTTCTGATGATAAGTGATATTGAGAATCTTTTCATATGCTTGTTGGTCATTGTGTATTATCTCTGGAGAAATGTCTATTCAAGTCCTTTGCCCATTTTTTAATTGGGCTATTTGGCTTTTTGTTGTTGAGTTGTACAAGTTCTTTATACCTTTATCACACATATGATTTGCAAATATTCCTCCCATTCCATAGGTTGCCTTTTCACCCTGTTGATTGTGTCCTTTGATGCACAAAGTTTTTAAGTTTGACGTGGACCCATTTATCTATTTTTGTTTGTGTTGCCTGTGCTCACTAGCTTATTTGTTGAATGTTACATTGGTGTGACCTTTGAAGTCAACAGAACCACTTCCGAGTCTTGTGCTGTCACTTGTCGGCTATGTGATTGTCTAATCTCTCTAAGCTTTGTTAATACTGTAGGACTAATAATAGGATCTACTTCATAGGGCTTCTTGTGGAGTAAATGAGATCCATCCACGCACTGCAAAATGACATTTCAGTTAACATCAGACTGTGTATACAATGGTGGTCCCATAAGATTAGTACCACATAGCCTAGGTGTGTAGTAGGCTATGCCATCTAGTTTTTTGTATAAGTACACTCTGTGATGTTCACACAACGATGAGATCACCTAACGACATATTTCTCAACATGTATCCCCGTCGTTAAGCGACATGTGACTGTATTTAAAAGGCCTGGCACATAGAAAGCCCTCAATAAAGGCTAACTATTATTCTAATTGGGGGAGGGAAGGCATTGAAGGATGATACAACATAATACGTGCCAGGGAAATGTTACAGGGAAAAAGTGCCATTCAAGTTTAAGGGAGAGAAAGAATTAAAGCCTGGTGATCTGGTATTTTCCAAAGAATTAAGACCCTAGGAAGTCATGCTAAACATTTGGCATTCGTTTCTGGAGGAGACTTGGTTTTATTCCTGTCCCTACGCTTGTTGTTTCTTTTTCTTTATTTATTTTCTTGTTTCCACTTTAAATTTATGTCATCATATATTTTATACATTTACCCCACTTTAAATCCTTTTCTTTTATAAGGCAGAGTATATATTTTAAAACATTATGTTTTATTTCTGTTTTGCCTCACTTACACCTCTTAATAGGTGCCAAGAAGTACAAAGAGTCCAGGCGGTCAGATAGAGGATCTGCCAACTGCAGGAAACACAGTCTATTACCCAAAAGAAAGCCGGAGCACCAGAACCCCAGATGTGGTGACCAGCCACACCGTGGGTAAGAAAACCAGTCGCCCCAATAGGGAACGAACTTCTTTTGCATAATCCATGCATTCCAAAGACCATGAACAAATGTAATAATCAGTAGGGCACATGTTGGAATGCAAGAGCGAATTCTGAACCAAGCTTTATGTGGTAGGTTCAGAACTCAGTTTATTAGCTCGCTGAACACAGCTCTCTGCCTTGAATGACAACTAGTGATAATGCCCCTACGAGGGCAAGTTAAGTAGCTACTGGTGTCCTGTTGCTGACCCTAAGCTGATATCATGCTACACTCAGAACTTTGTGTTGACACCCGAGAGCATGAAACTCAGCCAACTTATGTAAATCTTAACCAGTTCTATACTGATATTTGCCGTCTTATATTGAGTTCATGTCGGTCTACATGGAGCAAGGATCTTTTCTAAACCAGCCTTCCCAGGATTGGGGTTGTACTTGTGATTCATAGTTGGCACCTGCAGGAGTGTGACTAGAACACCTTGGAGAGAAAGTTTGGAGGAGGACTTTGGGTCTTTGCCATGTTGTGAAGTGTAGACCATCACTGATGAGAATAAGGAAAGATATTTGGCGTTACAACTTAGCAATAGAAAGAGGTAACTTTCTATTTCTAGAACTTTATTAAGAGAATTCAGTTGTTTGGGATTTTTAAAAAATATGCCTTATTTTTTTAGTAGAGAGGGGTGGGAGAGCAAAGGAACCAACTCTCCAATAACTGCAATGAGTGCTTGCTATCTTGAGCAACTTTATATAAATCATTGAATCCAGATAGGTATATCCATCTTTAAATGAAACTAAACATAAAGACGTTGCCTAAAGCAGTGGTTCCTTACACCAGTTGCACATCTGAACACCTAGAAAGTCATTCTTTATTGTTTGATATACATTTCCAGACCCAATAGCCAATCTGGTTTTAAAAACTCTATAGCACTTCTGAAGATTTAAAAAGTGCTTTATATTTGTACATCCTTCTTCATAGCAGCATTATTCACAATAGCTAAAATGTGGAATTCATCGATAGATGAATGGATGAACAAAATGTGGTATGTACATACAATGGAATATTACTCAGCCTTTAGAAGGAAGAAAATTCTGACACATACTACAACATGGATAAACCTTAATGACATTATGCTAAATGGAATAAGCCCATCACCAAAAGACAAATACTGTTGGTGTCTACTTAGATGAAATACATAAAGTAGTCAAAATCGTAGAGACAGAAAGTGGAAGGGTGGTTGCCCAGGGCTGGGGGGAGGAGAGAGTGGGAGTTATTGTTTTATGGATATAGAGTGTCAGTTTTGCAAGATGAAAAGAGCTCTGGAGATGATGGTGGTGATGGTTGCGCAACAATGTGAATGTACTTAATACCACTGAACTGTACACTTAAAAATGGTGAAGATGGTGAATTTTGTGTTGTGTATTTTACCACAATAGAAAAAAAAAACCTTGGGCCGGCCCGGTGGCTTAGCCGTTAAGTGCGCGCGCTCCGCTGCTGGCGGCCTGGGTTCGGATCCCGGGCATGCACCGACGCACCGCTTCTCCGGCCATGCTGAGGCCGCGTCCCACATACAGCAACTAGAAGGATGTGCAACTATGACATACAACTATCTACTGGGGCTTTGGGGGAAAAAATAATAAATAAATAAAATTATTAAAAAAGAAAAAAAAAAGCTTCATAAAGTGCTTTGAAAATAAAGCCTAAAGGTCACTCCAAGATGCTAAAGAAATAGTTAACATTTAAACACCAGAGAAGACCAAATAGGGCTAAGCAGGGAAAGAATCATCAATATAAGCGGTCATTGGGAAGCATTTCAAAATTTTGGAGAAGTATTGATCATTTGTAACCTGAGTTGACAGCGAATTAGCAGCAGAAAATGGAGCCTTCCAGGCTGAGTATTCTTTCTATCATACCAGGATACCTCTCCTAGTCCTTAAAAAAAAAAAAATCTCAATTGCCTGGAAAATAGTCATGGTTATTTTCTTGTCCTGTCCCCTGCCCCACCATGTCACAAAAAGTGTGACATGTGGCACATTCCCACTTCATACATCAGTGTCCCAAGAAATTTTCACATATGAGTTAAAATTTAATTATAAGCACTTATTTTTTTTTAAGAGGTAATTTTATTAGGGCAGCAGATGTCTTTTCCATGAAACGTCCAAGTTTGATGATGTTCACATGGATGACGCAGTCTCATGATTACAGTCAGTGTAATTGGGAGGGAGCTAGGGAGTATAGACCTAATAAGCTCTAATTTAGTAAGGAATATTCCGCAAACTTTATTTTTGGTAATACGTTTTCTAACCAATGGTGCATTGATGTTGATAATGGTGTTTTAGGAGGCCAGAATTGGCAGTCACCATGTTAAGACCTGATAAACAAATGATTGACCTGTCTCTTCTGGTAGTTGACAGCCAGGGATGACACTTTGGGAGTTGATTTGATGACACCTTTGTTCTGGGCAGGCCTCAAACCCAGCAGTCTCCCCATACTTGTTTTATGACGAGATAGGTCAGTCAGCTTGAGCTCCATTTAAATGCTCCAGAGCCATGGGTTCAGCTCATGAAGGAGAGTAGAGTTCAGGGATGCCTATCCTGGGGCCATCTTGGAAAGGTAAAGACAGCCTTGGTACAAAGGGGATGACTTCTTTCAAACCCAATCATTAGTAAAAGCCAGCATCCTGTAGATGATGATTGGCTGGTTCCACCTTTGATTAGGAAAGCTATTGGACATCTGTGGTATTTTGCAAGTTGTGAACAAAGGTTCTAGGGAAGGGCCTGACTGATTCACTTCTCTCCATTGTGTCATTAAGTCAAGGAATCTTGACTTTTTCTCTATCTGCAAACTAGATAAACAACTACCACCTACAGGAGTTAAGGACTCATTTAAGAGTTTGATCGGAGAAACAAAACGAAACAAAAAAAACCTTTATTTCTAAATAGGAAGTGTGTAAAATTATCTGAAAAAAATAATTTTATTACTTACTTATGGGAAGGCACTCGTAAATAAATGACTTACACCCATACAATAGGTAAGTGAGAATATTCACATTGTAATTATTGGACTAGGTTTGGCTGCAGATAGAAATCCTAAAATATCAGAAGCATAAACACAAAGGATGTATTCTCTCATTCAGCTTTGCCGGGCTTATTGCTGCCCTGTAAGATCTAGATTTTGCTACTCAAGAAAAGGCAAGGAATTGATATCACAAAGTGAATCACAATCTTGGCCACATCTTCTAAAACTAGAGTTGCTCTCAAAATGAAAATCCCTCAAAACAGCCCTCATCACAGTGGAAGAGTTTTCCATGATTTTGACATTGGACCAAGAATCAACAGCCTTGGATTCTTTTGTTACCCAGCCTCTGAAACTTTCTGACCATTTATTTACGATCTCTGTGGGTCAGTTTCTTTGACTCTGCTCTCTAAACTGCATGAGAAAAAAGTAATGTACGCAAAAGTACTGTGGCCCCATAGGTCTGAAGAAGCGTTCATAAATTCAATAATAATAGTTTTGAAGACCAGGTCATGTCAGAGCTTGCTTAAAAACCCACTGATACAATTTATTTAAGAAATTATCCTCTGTTTGTGTTCTGCTACCTTCCACGTAGGGTAAATTCGTCTTTTGCCAATTGTTAAATTATAGTTATTAAATCCTAATAATTCTATATCATTACATCTCTCTCTTACAGGGAAAGCGGGTGGAAACACAAAGACAACTGTTGAGAAAGGTAGGCTAGATTTTGGTATCAAAATATTCTTATGAGAGTTAAAAAAAACAGGTTTCTTTGAACCTAATCTTTGTGATGAATCACATTTTTTCCTGGATTGTAGTCAACAAGAGCAAAACACAGAACCTTCTGAGAACAGGTTTCAAACCTCTTTTAAGACAGAAAAGGGAATTGCCTGTATTTGAAAATAAACCACAAATGAGTCTATTCACTTAATGACAGCTATGGAGAATGGTATCATATCACAACTTATTGTGACTAAGAATGAAAATAGGGGCTAATTTAATAGCCGTACACAAATGCTACCCAATATTTAACAGTGAAGCCACCCAGTATGAATGGTATGCTTGATAGATCCTGAAACCCAGAAATCTTTCCATTCATAAGATGAGATCAGAATAGCCCAAAGTTTCTCCTCTTCTAAGTCAGCTTCCACTGCATACAGGAGAAGTGACATAGAACATTATTTTCTATCTGTAGTGGGGCAGTGGCATTGTTTATCGCAGGTATGTTGTTTATCTGGGGCTCATGCTTTTTTTCCCCTCTCATTCAGATGGCTTGTCGACAGTGACTCTGGTTGGAATCATAGTTGGGGTCTTACTAGCCATTGGATTCATTGGTGGGATCATCATGGTGGTCACTCGAAAAATGTCAGGAAGGTTCTCGTAAGTAAATAACTTACCCCCACGTGGTAGGTAAATGAGGGTGGTCATTTCTAGAACTCCAACCTTTGAACTAATAGAAACCTCTAAATCAAGGTCATGTTCAGAAGCCCCCTACCTTCATAAGTACTACATGTAAAGTTTCCCCAGAAGAGCTGGTGTCTACTTGGGCGTTATAAGTTTCCAAGGAAAGGGTCAGAGCCAGAGGTGGCTCTTGAGTTGACTTCTGTTGAGCTCTGACCAAATTTGACCTCTTTTCTTAATTTTCCAACTAACTGGACTTGAAAGAAAACCCAAACCAGGTTTCAATTTGATATACCCAATCACCTGCTCCCGATCATCAGAGGGAGGTGGTTTCCAGAAGAGCACGTGTTACAGAGGCAGGGCTCCATTCTGATGAGGAATTCTACTGGTGATGGGGTCTCTTTCATCTGGATCCCTCCCTCCACTCCTGCCCTGCACACACCCACACATGCTAGTGTCCTCCTAGCATTGACTGTTGATGAGGGGAAGGAATTCTTTGTCTTTACTAAAATTCCTTAAGAGTTCAGAACATTCAAATTCATAGCCAGAGGAGGACTTTTTCTTATTTCTGTTGGGGAGATGACCTATGACTGGGGGGATGGGGAGAGGAGAAATGCTATACAACAGAGGGGTTGAGGGACGCGATTAACAATTAAGTTGCAGATTTATGTGTTTGGAAGTGCCTGGGAATCTGACCCTGGCTGTGTAAGGACCGGGCATGGAGGAGGAATGAGCGGGGAAAGGAGAAGAGGTTTCAGAACTGGAAGACTTAGACAAAAGGACAATAGGAACGATGACTCACAGATTACTATTCACAGTTCCAGTAAAAGAAGTGACGGTCACCTTTCTCTTTGTTTTCACAGACCGTAAAGAGCTGAAGCATTGTGCCCTTCTGCCAACATGTTGAAAAAGAGAGTTTCCGACTTCCCCATCCCTGCGCATATGGAGAAGATGACCCATGGCAATGCTTCGCCATCCCACTCAAAATCCATGGTGATCCCTCCACTTGCCAAAAGTAACCGAAAAAAAAGATAATTCACAAGACTTACTCCTCTAAGCACTTGTCTTTTCAAAATTTTTTCAAATATAAATTTTGTAAAAGGTGATTTAAAAGACAAAATGCATAGAAAATGGAGCAAAATTATGTAAACTGATTTGTAATTAAGATGGACAATATAATTCAATCAATGTTAGCAACTGTAACCATGTCTTTGTTCTGACCATTCTCTATTATTGTTAAAATGCAAAGGAATCTGAAAATATTTATACCAGTGGAGTCCTTGGGTCTAGTGCTATGTCAGTAAATGGCATAAGCATTTTGCAATTTCTGTTAAAATGTACACCTTGCAATCTAGTTGGGTCTATTTCGAAAGCCTGATTTGATGTGAATAACCAAGTAGAAAATCTAAATTTGGATAATATGTAATGAGCAACTGCCTTTCATTGGTCCAGATAAATCATTTCAAAGGCATCCATTTTAGATCATAAACAGGAATCTATACTTTGGAGAAGGTATTTTGTTTCTCACAACAAGGCCACTGGGCAGCTTCTAATCTTGCTTTACCACCTTCTCCAGCGATGACTTGACGACTCAAAGGTTTGCTCCTACCTGCCCCCTCTGCGTCCCTCAGATGCTGGGGAGCCAGAGCTAAGGGGGCCGCCTTTTCTCTTTCCTATGACGAAAGTCTTCCGATTGGCTGCTTTGTTCTGGAATATGGAGATCTCAGCTCTGGATGCTGAGGGGGCTCCTGGGGGCCCAGTGGTGCCAGAGGCTCAAGTGTTCCAGAAACCAAGAACCATGGTGGTCCTCAAACAGAAAGAAACCCTGTGTGTGCCTCTGGCATGGGAAATAGAACCTACCATTTTCTAACCTTTATTTTCTGCCTCAGAGGAAAGACATGGGAAGCAAAAATAATCTTGTAAAATATCGAGTTCTCAAAAGCAGCTGGATTTAAAGACTTGATTTAAAAATGAAAGATGTTCCCAGTCTTCATGACACCACATATTTCTGTGGGGTCATAATTGAAAAGCTCAAAATGAAGGAGCCCAGGGGCCGGCCTGGTGGCGTAGTGGTTAAGTTTGCGCGCTCCGCTTCGGCAGCCCGGGGTTCGCAGTTTCGGACCTACACACTGCTCATCAAGCCATGCTGTGGTAGGTGTCCTACATATAAAAAAGTAGAGGAAGATGGGCATGAGTATTAGCCCAGAGCCAGTCTTTCTCAGCAAGAAGAGGAGGATTGGCAACAGATGTTAGCTCAGGGCTAATCTTCCTCACCAAATAAATAAATAAAGGAACCCAAGCTGCCATTCTGAATTGGCACCATTCAACTCAGTTCTTCCCATAGGCCAATTGAGTTCTTTTTCCTAAACAAAAAATGTTTATAGTGGGCAGATGCTCTATCATGATTGTGGTTGTGCAATTCTGACATGCTCTAAACATGTAAGAGTCCATAAAACAGGAAAAAGTAAACGATCGGTCAGAAAACACAGCCCATTCCTCCCAATTTTTGCAGTAATATGTGGATGTTGTTTTAAACAGTGTGCCCTTCTGTTGCCCAAATCCAGCTGGTCCACTAGCCCCGGGTCCATATTGAACATCAACTGATTAAGAGAAGCGGCTTTAGAAAAGCTTTATGAGCTTAAATATCCTTCTGTTTCATCACTCAAATTCCTGGACAGGAGTTGGGAATAGTGTCAATTTCGTCTTTCCTATCCTTGCTTTTTTTTCTCACTGTGAAAAGTAACATTCGACCCCAAGTCATACACTGGACCCATCCCCTGCTGGGACAGGACTGTGGGTTTCTTGGTCACATCTGTGTTGGGGGCTCAATGCAGTGTAGACATGTTTTAAAATAAAACAGATGATTGTGCGTAACAATGAGTCAGACCTTTCATTGGAAATCTTGATCAAGTCTGGGTCACACTTAAGAACATCTCCAGATACAATCATAAACGGTGTAAACATCTGCCTCCTGACTTGATTGGGAGTGGATTATAAAAGGTCGTAGGACTTACATCCTTGGGAAAGAAAGGTAACTACACCTTTCACCCAGGGCTCTGCCAAAGCAGAGAGGTTGTCAAGCCGGGGATGGGATGAGAAGACAAGTAGCATCTTGGGACTTCTGCCCTCTGGTCACAAAGGGTTAACAAGGTTTTGCCTGGCTCCTGATTTCTCTTCGCTGAAGGGAGGAGCCAGATGAGGGAGCAGTTACACCTTGTTCCTGCCTCCTCCCTGGGAACCTGACCTCAGGTGTGTAGGGCTTGGCTCCACAAGAACCTGTGAGGGTGTTTCAACTGCCCGTGGGTCAGGGCAGCGTGTCGCTCCAGAATTCCTGTTCCTGGGACATCTCACTGCTCCTTGGCCCGCAGCTGCAAATGCTCTGCCAGGTCTGGAGACTGCAATGGCCAGGTGGCTCTCCTTCTGGCCCTTTGTGCCTCTCTGTCAGTCGATCTGCTCATCTGCATCCCTACTGACACTGCTCCGTATGGATTCCGGGCCACACCTGGGTCTCTGCCCTGCCAACCCTATCACCACCCACAAAGGTTGGATGCCAGGAGCAGGAGAGCTGTTACATCACGCCTTCCTCATAATAGCCAGTTTTTGTTAAATCAAGATTGTTGAATTTGCCAGATCGGGTGCCCGTGTCATAATTGGTGACGCAGTGGAAAAGATCAGGGTTCGAATCCCATTCGGCTACTTTACAGCTATAATCCCTCAGAGGAGTCATTTAACTTCCTTGATTACAGTTTTCTTCGTGAGAACTTCCATGAGATGGTTCAGAGAGCATCCCTTTTCTAGCATAAAACTAACCACGTCCGCCTCGTCCCACAGACTCTGAAAGAGAATGGGGCCCTCGGTTCTGTCAAGTGTAAGTTTATATTCCCTTACATGCTACCCGCAGGAGATGACTGGAAGCTAGGGCTGCCAAGGGTGCTGTAAGTTTAAGGAAACAACTCCATCCACTCTTCCCACAGAGACATCTGGGGAGCAGGCCGTGCTGCCATTAACTGTTGGCCCCATATTAAAGCTCTGTTTGAACCCCTGTTATTATTATTCTTTCTTTTAACCTGGGAGAACCAATTGAGAACCAGGACTTAGTTCTGCTTCATGTGCCGCCTTTAAGGAACAGGGAAAGAGCCAGTCACTTAATCCCTTGCTGTCTCCATCTTTATTTTAATTCTTGTTTATTTAGTATTCAGGGCATGGGGCTGCTTGTGACAAATGCTTCGATGAGGAATAATGCATATTCTGACATTAAAGCTTTTTTTTTTGCTGATTAAAAGTCCAGTGACAGTGGAAGAAGAATTTTCCTGAAATACAGCCGAATATTGGCACACACACTTGGAACACACAGCCATCCACTGAGCATCAGAGGACTGAGCATTCCTTGAAGGACTGTGTTTCTCTTTGCTCTTTCTGAAGCTTAAAATCAGGTTAGAATGCATAGTGGAGCCTAGGTTTGTAAATTCAATGAATATAAATTATGTGACCACAGTTAATGGGCAACAATGCAGAATAAATTTAAAATCTTGGAGTAGAAGAATGAAGACTGTCCCACTGGTGTGAAGAATGTGAGTTCTTTGGCCCATTGGCCCCGCAGATAAGTATCGGCCTGATACAGGCAAAGGGTCAGCCCGGATTCCCTTGTCCTCAACACTTTCACTCTCCCTGGGGGTCATTCATCAGACTGACTCAGAGCCCCGCGTGTTCTGCTTCTGCATCCAAGAGCTCAGGGCCGTAATCCAGACAGTTCCATCCGTGATCCTGAGACCTTGTTCCTCCATTTGTTTCTTTCCTACCCCCTTCTCTCTCTGCCTCTAACGTCCCACTGATGCCAATCTTTCAGAAAACAATCACATGCCGGTCACAGGGGGGATGTTTCTGAAGGATGGTTACCCTCTGATGCTATTGTCTGAAATATGTGCTTAAACAACCAAAACCACTCAGAGCGCCTGTGTGTCACCTCAGGAAGGAGTAAATGTTCCCACTGAAGGGAAAGGTTGACACTTCCTGTTAACCGCCCCCCGCAACCCTGTGGATGAGGACGGGGCTGTGGAGGGCACAGGGCCAGCTGGAAAGGGAATGTATGGTGTGGATGTTTGTCTAGCAAGACCCAGGGGCAAAAGACACTCACGGGTTGACAAGGCATTTGGGGTTGCTGGAGAGAGACTCTCTTGTAGGATAGGAATAATCTGTGTGTTCATTCGTTCATTCAATAGACATTTATTGTCAGGTCCTGTTCTAGGTACTGGGGATTCATAGTGAATGAGACCAACCAAAATCCCTGTCCATGTGGGAGACAGATTGCACCCAAAATAAGCAAGTAAATCATAGAATATGTGGAAAATTAGAGGATAGTAGAGGCCATGGAGAAAACCCCAGCAGGGGAGGAGAAGAGGAAGTGCAGGGTTAAGGGACTGCAGCGTTGACTCTGGTGGGTGGGGAAGGCCCCACTGAGGTTGAGCAAAGTTCTTGAAGAGGCCCTGAGGGAGGGAGCCGAACGGGCATCTGGGGAAGCATTCCAGCAGAGGAACATCTGAGGCAGGAGCGCATGTGGCGTGTTTCAGGGGAACGCAGGGAAGCTCAGAGGGCTGGAGCAGAGCGAGCTCGGGGGGAAAGGTAGGAGATGAAGCGAGAGAGGTGGGAGCCCGTGCAAACGGGAGCCATCGGAAGGTTTTGAGCAGAAGAGTGACATTTCAAAAAAAAAGGTCTGACTTCCATTTCCAGAAAAATCACTCTTGCTCTGGTTGGGAAGTGGCCAGTTAAAAAGCCAGTGTGATAATCCAAGCAAGAGATGGCTGGTGGCTCAGACCAGGATGATAGCAGTGGAGATGGCAGGAGGTGGTTTGGTTCTGGTTATAATTTGAATAAAGTCAACAGAATTATCCGATGGGTTGAACATGGGATACGAGAAATACTGAGAAGTCAAGATGAGTCCAAGGATTTTGACCTAAGCAACTGGAAAATGGAGCTGCCATCAACTCGCCAGGGACGGCTGTGGATGTTGCAGGTTTGAGAAGGAAGATCAGGAGTCCTGTGCTGAACATCTGTGAGTAATCCAGGTGGAGATGTCAAGCGGGCAGCTGGGCATATGAGTCTGGAGCTTAAGGGAGAGATCTGGCTGGAGACATAATTTGAGGTCTCTCAAGCTCTCCAAGTTGCTTAATGCTGGGATGGGGGTGTCCTTGATAGCGGACACAAGTATTCCCCTCACTGGAACAGAATTTCACTCATTGGTAATTGCCTACCTCACATGTGGGCTTATAAATCAGTTTCTTATGAATTTGATTGGCGTGAGTGAGGCCCTAGAGCCTGTTCAGCTCTTATGCAACAATGATTTCAGAATTATAAATCTGAGGACCAGGTCTTTAGAGAATGACAACCACATCAAGTTACCACTGCTGTATTGGGCATCCAACTCTCCTCCCTACACAGCATTTCTGTTGTAAGTGCCGACTGTAGTGGGGCCTGCATGACCTCCCGCAATTTAGCTTCTACCCACTCCATTGAATTACTCTGACCAAGCTGCCAAATGACCTCCCACTTGTCAGTGGGAGGAGGTTGACGCTGCCACCTCTTTTGGTCTTGTCCTCGGTAATCATGGGCAGCAGTCAGCCTCATTGACCCCTTCTTGAAGCCATCTTCTCTGCCTTGGTTTGCGTGCCAGGCTACCATGCTGGTTGCCCCTCCTGGCTCTCAGATTGCTGCTCCACTGGCCTTTTGCTTGTCTTCGCTTCACCCTCTCTCCTCGCAGGCATATCTAGGGCCCAATTCTCACTTCTCTATAGTCTCTCCTTTGGGGAGCTCATCTACTCTCACAGCTCAACAAGCAGAAGCTCCGGGAGGGTGGGAGTCTGTTGGGTTCATTGCCACATCTTTAGCCCCTGGAGCAGTGCCTGGCACATAGCAAGTGAGCAATCTCTCAGCCTTTACATATACACCACCACCCTTCTGGTTCAGATCCTCAACCAAAACCTTCCCCGCTCCAATCTTATCTGTATTCTACCAGTGAGATCTTCCTAAAACCTCTTATTGCACATGTTACCACCATATTCTAAAAATTCCCCAATGGCTTCCTACAAAATAACTTGATGTTCAGGGCTTCTAGACTTTATCTTGAGACCTACATCACATTTGTACATACAGTGTATTAGAGTGGAAAGAGCATGGCTCTAGACCCAGTTGCTGTGACTTTGATTCCAGGCTCTCCCTCTTCCAATGTGGAGGAAATGACTTAACATTTTTGTATCATTAGGCTCTTTTGATTGCAAGGAACAGAGACTTATGCAGGTGGCCTCATGCAGTGCTATGTATTCTTTGGATGTGTGTGAAAACATGGGAGACAAATCCCGTGGGAACCCCTAAGCAGCAGCATACCTCAGCCACAAGGAATTGAGAGTTCTGTAAACAGTGCTGGATTCTGGATTATCTTGACATCTCTATCTCTGTGCTGGAGAGTTTTTATTTGTCCCTCTGGGTTTATTTTCCACCTCTCCCCACCTAGCTCTGTGAAGCGGGAGGCAGACCTGAATGGACTACATCAACCAAGTCCTCTTGCCTTCTGGGTTCTGGTTGGGCTTGCACCATGGGAAGCACTAAGAGGTGATCAGAAGAGACAGGCTGGGGTATTTATTCCTCCAGCTCCTTCCCTGACAGGCCAATGTGTTGCTGGTGGTTTTCCTCCTCTACCAAAAGCCACAGCTCCTGTTGGATGGCCTTTTCCTACAGCCATAGGCCTGGCTGGGTTCGTTGGTTGGGAATTTCTCTGCATATCATTTTATCAGCATCACTTTCAGAAAGCAACTGGCGCCAACCCCGCCTATCGTGAGTTGAACTGTGGACCCCCGAAGAGATATGTCCAAGTCCCGACCCTGGTCCCTGTGAAGATGACCTTATTTG